CACTCCTAAACTTTTTTTAAGCCTTTAACCGCTGCAGCAACTTTTAAATCGCGTAAATAACAACAGCTCAGGTCCAAGTGGGAATCAAAAGTGCTCCACGGCAAATACCCACAGCGGGTGAAATAGGCTGACGTGGACTACGACAAGACTCACAGATGGCTTAAAGCAGCTGGCCTCAAAGCAGAAACCGAGGGCTTTATCAACGCAGCCCAAGATCAAAGCCTCCTAACACGCTGGTACCAACACAACATCTTCAAGAAGGCTGACGTGGACCGAAAATGCAGAAGGTGTGGCGGTTTTGACGAGACTATTGACCACCTGGTCTCTGGCTGCCCTGAACTGGCTAAAACTGAGTACATCCACCGCCACAACAAGGCAGCTGCACACATGCCCTGGACGATCTGTAAAGGGTTTGGCATTGAGGTGAAGGAACGATAGTATGAGCATGAATCCAAGACTGTCACCGAGAAGGACAGCGTCACAATTCTGTGGGACATGCACATTCACACTGACAGGACCATCGCAGCTAATAGGCCGGATATTGTGCTAAACCTGCCTTCTCGTTGACATGAATATACCCCTCGATACCAACACCTCAGTCAAAACCACGGAAAAGCTAAACAAATACGAAGACTTGGAAATCAAGGTTGAGCGAGCTTGAGCGAATGTGGGGACTTAAAACAACAACGGTCCCGGTGGTTATGAGAGCCCTTGGCACCATCAAGAAGGAAACTACACCAACAAAATCCCTGGAAACAGCAACATACATGAACTCGAGATAACTCTCCTTCCTACAACCCACCTTCTCAGGCGGGTCCTCTCCATCAAGTAGAAACCCTCTTTGCCTCCCAAAGTCCATGGTTTGGAGTCCGATGTTGAGAGAGAAAATCACTCGCAATTACACTAGTACGTGTATCTTATGTAGTAATTATAATAATAATAATGGTAAGAATAATAATAATAATAATAATAATAATAATAATAATAATAATAATAATAATAATAATAATTGACTTTATCTATACTCACCATTTTCACATAGACCATAATGAACCTTGTTACCACCGCCCCCAAATTTTGCACAGCCGTTGTCTTCGATTTTCCCTGGGCAAACGATATTTCTCCCCAACTTGAGTCCTAGCGTGATCGAGAATATCGAACTATTGCTACCTTAAGTAAGATCAAGAAAACGCTCAGGCATAATAGTCCTACTGTCATTACCCAGCATGACCGAGTGGTCAGCGCGTCGGACTCGCAACCCGGCTGTCCCGGGTTCGAAATCCGCTCTGGCGACTTGTTTTATTTGTTCTCGGTCATCCCGTGTTAAAATCCTTGGCGACGCTTGTAAATGGCCAACTGGTTGCCTCCTGCCAGTTGGAGTTTTCAATCCTGTTATATTGTATGTGAATTATTTGTTTCTAAGTATTTGAGTGGAGTGTCGGAAAACTAGCTGGATAAGCTTAGTGCACTTTCCACGATAAACAAGCCTTTAAACCTTTTTTTTAACCTTTAAACTCTGGACATAAACACGAGGGAAGGAAAGGCGAAAGATAAAAATTTTCCTTTTTCTTGTGCTACGTGATTTATTATGAGTTTTTTTTTTACGTGAATTAAGACTCTTATACTTGCCCTTGTTCTTGTCTTATTCTTGCTCCTTAAGTGAAAACAAGGCCTAGAGTCATACCATACCAAACTGAGTTAACCATGGAACTTTTTTTAAAATAGGACATTGGCACATTGTTTTACTTGTGTGTCCCAGAAAAAAAACTTTTTTAGCAAACCAAACTGAGCTTTCGAACGATTTCATTTATTGCCACTTAGTGTTTTTTCTTCCCTAAAAATGATTGCCCCCGCAGGGTTCGTACCTCCGGCACCCTAAATTACCCCGCGTAGAGAAGCATCGTTTTTTCCTTGTATTGGTAATATGCGAAATCTTCTCGATTTGAAGAATCCAGGCGCGTAAGGTGGTTCCGATTAATTTTCAGTATGCGTACCATCCTCGGAGACCCAGGGGCAGATAGTGGGGGCGAGAGAAAGTCTAAACGGACGGAAAAATATGGCGCGAAGAAAAGTAAAGAACGGCGAGAAGAGCCCCTGTGGACAATGTCTTACCAGACCAGTTCCAAACGGTCGCCGCCGTTCTGACTTCTGATTAGTGCCAGAAAACGTTTGTGTTTTTCTGCCCAATCAGAAGTCAGAACGGCGGCGACCGTTTGGAACTGGTCTAGTAAGACATTGTCCTCAGGGGCTCTTCTCGCCGTTCTTTACTTTTCTTCGTGCCATATTTTTCCGCCCGTTTAGATTTTCCCTCGCCCCCACTATCTACCCCTGGGTCTCCGAGGATGCATGTGTACAAGGCAAAGGGTAATTCTGGTTCACCAAGCGCGCAAGGTGGTAATGGGAAATTCTGGAAACACGTCGTTAACCGGTCAGCATTAGCTTCCATTCTTCAGAACCACCTTCCCCCCTTAGCTACACTTACATGAAATTTCTAAGGGCCTGTTTACATGGAGGTGGGGATCACAGATAGGTGAGGAAACATGTGACGGGTCACCCTACCTATCATGTAAACTTGATCAATTTAAAATAAGAGGTCATATGCAAAGGCGGGTTACCCCACCAATGCGGGTTACCTCACCTACCTGGGGTACCGCACCTCTATGTAAACAGGCCCTAAGTCTCTTCACATTTCTACTCTTCTAATATTTTTCTAAGTCTTAGTCCCTTCAATTAGTTTTAGAAAAAAAAACAGATTGAACGAGGCACTAGCGGGATTCGAACCCGCGGTCCTAAAAACTGCAATCCATCGCCTATACCACCACACCATAGGGGATTCGACTGCAAGATATGTCATCGTTTTGCATATTTATGGTGACAAACCTAACCCCTAACCATAACCATTTGAGTCAGTGCTTAGCCCTATTCTATATTGTCAGTGTTTAACCCTAATCTCTATTAAATAACGTTTTTCGCGAAGTTTTAAAATGTCATAAACTAAGAGCATAGAAATAAAGAGATTACACATTGAACGTAGAAGACATGTTTCAAAATAAACGTCGTGTCTAAGGCGGGGGCAGATGTAGTGAGAACTATTGCTAGTGTTTAATGATAATGCTGTGATGGCGTGAGCTTGAATATTTCTTGGGCCACAATTTGCTTTGGTTAGTAAATTACTTTCTCGAAAAATGGCGAGGAATTTTCGAAACTGCAGGGGCCCTGTCTTTAGTTACGTTGTGGAACTTTTTTCTCTGGAAAATGCAACCAACCTTTTTCTTTAAAAAACAATCAAACTTCACTTGCAAACATTGTTCGCTGGAAATAACATTTGCGATGTTATATTAGAGAGAGTCTTTCTCGACCTAATACTTTTTAATTACGTAAATATATAAATCGCTGTGAAGATCACACTGCTTAATTGGTTATGTCACGTTATTACTCGCATTTTGCAGTCTGTTAGCAAAGGATGGACCCTTCTTTTTTGTGCTCGTTTTGATCCCTACAAATGAGGCGTTTGCTGGCCTTCCTATTTTACTTTTAGTATCATATACATGAAACTGCTTAGGTGCTATGATATCAATTATTTTAAGATGCTTTGCATCTTTAGTGTGCGAGAGCTTTACGCGTACTGGGCCCTTGGATTTGATAAGCTTTCCTTTTCCCTGAATAATTTGTCCATTTATTATCTTGCTTCTTAACTGAGATGAATCTTCTAATGGCTTTCCATTTAAGCGTATAAGAACGTTTCCCAACCCAAAGCGAAACTTTTGAGATTTACGAGGAATTGTATCTTTTGACGCAATAGGAGGTGTAAAGTTGGGTTCCAATGTAGCCTTATTTTCCAAAAATTCAGCTTCCGAGGAGGTCATTTCTGATATTTGAAAATTTGGATTTCCAACTATTTTTGGATGAGAAGTTGGCTGTTGGGGCTGAGGCAAAATATGTTCTTTCAGGGCTGAAAAAGGCGAGGTCAATTGGTATCTCGCGAACGTTTGAGCATCTATTTGATTTGGTAAACCTGGGACGTTAGGATAATAAAACGGACGGTTTGCTGCATTAAACCTTTGCATTAGTTGAGGCTTTGAGGCTTGGAACTGCTGAGGGAAGCGCTGTGGATCAAAATTATCCTGGCTTGGGGACGCATCTTGATCATCGTTGCCATTGTCGTTTGTTGATCTGGAATCTGGGCTTTCTTCGCCCTCTGTCGCTGGATCATTTCTGTCATGAGAACGATTTACGTCATCATCAGAGCGTTCTTGTTCTGGTTCTTCTGCGTCCTCGTTCTCCTCATCCGAAGGTTCTTCATCACCTCGAGAATATCCTCGTTCAAATGAATAGGGTGGTGGTTCATCATCTTCCTGGGAGTCGTCATCCCTTTGTGAATCATCATCTCTATCATAATATCTGCTGCCTTCATGTCTTCCCTCATCATCATCCTCATCTTCCTCCTCTTCACCTCGTTCATCTTGAAGCCTTTCTTCTTTCTGTCTGTTTCTTTGACGATCTAATACCTCACTTCTCTGACGTCCATCTTCATCTACCCAGTTACTCGCAGGTTCCATTTCTCGTTGGCCTCCAGTCGTAAGTTCTGGTGACATCTGCATTTGAGCTGGAACTATTATTGGCTGTTTCTCTGTCATCGGTGAAATGGGGACTTGAGGAACTTCTAGCTGTTGCTGTGATTGAAGCTGGTACAAAGATCGGGCATCGGGCTGCTGGTTACCTAAAAGGAACTGTCCTTCCATTTGCGAAGGCATGACATACGTCGGGTTAACGGGTTGTGTTTGAAGTGCAGGAACTTGCACTGCTGGCTGTAGTAACAGTTGGTTTGTCAAGGGTACTGTGGGCTGAGGTGAGAAATACTCTATAGGACTGGACACAGGAAAGGAATTTTGAGCTGTCATTGGAACAAGGGCAGGCTCGTAATCTGATCGACCAGTAAACAGTGGAAAGAGAAACGTATCTGGTCGTCCACCAACCGAAACCGATTTAGGGTTTAAGGGACGAAAAGGTTGCATGAGTTCTTCTGGCTGTGTTAATTGGGATGACTGAGCGAGCGAGAGAGGATCACGCCTTCTAAAAATTGGAAACATTTCATCCCTCATTTGTCCTTCATCTGCTCTAGATAGACCGCCATTTAAAGCATCTTGAGAGATCGATATCACATTTGGTGGATAATCATTTACTGCGTTCCTATAATAAGAACCGTGTCTTAGAGGTCGGAAATGCAATCTCGGTGTCCTAGGGCTAGAGCTTGAAAGCGGCGATCCAATGGAACCGTAGAGTTGCGTGTCCTTGTCGTTCAATTCGTTTTCACTTGTATCGTCCCCATCAAGTGAAACAACGTGCAGTCCTGATCTGTGGTGGCTATGTATTCTACCCAAACCATCATTCGCATGTATTCTAAAAGTATGGCGCCCTCTATGACGACTCACTTTTGCTATCCTAACCATTCCGTCTTCACGTGAAAAAGGTGCATGCATTGCATGATCGTCGTCACCAGTATCGGATACAACTTCGTAGGCATCACTCTTTTTCTCATTTTCTTGTATTTCAGGTGGTCCTTTGGCTTTGCTCACAGTTTGCTCCTTGAGTTCAGATTCTCGATATTCCGACATGTCCTCAGGGTTACTTGGGTTGGGTTCCCCATGAAAAACCTTTCCTTCTGCAGATAAACTTTTTCCATGTTTCTCTATGTTTGCAACTGTCTCACCTTCCCTATTTCTTTTATGTGCAAAGTCATCTCTTAAGAATATTATCTCCTGCCTTTTGCGAGATTTGCTGATCGTAATATTGGGACCATGGAGCGTTTTACTTGTGTCAGTGGTATTGATGGCCAGGATGTTCACTGGAAAGTTTAAAGAAAATGGTTCATTAGGTATATCTAGGTATGCAAAACTACATTGTAGTAAGCCGATAGTGGTCGCTTAGGATCCGAAGCGCAAAGGGAACTACAATGCAATACTTTCAAGGATGGTCCCGTCCAATGTTTTATTCCGTCTAATTTAAAAAGGCAAGAAAGCTACCACTTCTGACATAAACACACTTTACGGTTGATTCTTTTTTTATATCAACTGTAATATCGCTGACGGTGTTAACTTACGATTTCCTTGTCTTAGTTTGAAAAGTGTTTAACGAATGATGTTTACCCTTTGTGTTTACAGTAAGATTTAAGTGTTTATTATCATAATGGTAACATAATTAAAACAACTCTAAAAACCATAGAAATAGAAGAAATTTTAAGTTTTTGAATTTTCTGGTATAAAATAATGCAGGTACCATTGTAGTAAGTTTAACAAATCCGCCATGTTTTAACAGAGGTATTGATGCGTACGTGACATCGTTGCCCTTATAGCCAATTAGTTTTGTTCCTCGCATGACTTAGAAAATCCGAGAGATGTTCTTTCCCAAAACCGTCTTAAAATGCATTTTTTATCCTTTTGCCTACCGTATGTTTGAGAAGGAATATATGCAAGGCGATCCAGTTGTTCTGGCTACAGAATACGACAATACTTAGTTTCAACACAAACCTGGCAAAAATGTTAGTAGAATAAATAAAATCCCAATCCATTTGGTCATCGACGCCATAACATGTCACTTAACGTAATATTTTGGTTTACGCATCTTGAATACTAGGTTTTATCAAGACAAGACTCCATGTTTAGGGAAAGGAAAATGAACAATACAATTTGAATGATGTAATAACAAAGGTCACGTGACCATGTTTATTCGAGAGAGAACGTCTCCTTGAGATGTTGAAACGAGTTGCTACTATATTCTACAGTAGTCTCAAGAGAAGATTTAATCAAGAATTCTTTGCGAAGAATTGTAATTTTGTCAACAATTTAGTATCTTATTAATTTTTACAGAAAACATTGCTCTACTGTAATTTCTGGGCCAATAGTTGATGATTGACATTAAGATTAAACTAAGTAAAGGTATAGAAAAGGTATGTTTTGGTTTATTTGTAGTAAGCCTGTTACGCTTGGACATGCCCGATAGAACAAATCGTTAAACATTAGTGAACCCTTTATTTCTGTCAAGGAAGTAAATGGGCCAAGAAATCCACCTGCTTGACTCGACAAACCGTGCACCGTGAAACATTGAAATACTGCACCACAAACTTTCTTTCTTCGCAAGAACTATCCGACTTGTCCTCTCTGTTACTTCGGAAAGTCGCCGAAAAAGAGACATAGCAGTGAAAATTAAGTCAAAGCATTAGACTAGAAGTCTCAACAATGATACCCAGACGAAACAGACAAGATGTTCTGACGTCATATACAGTGAAATATTAATCGGTCGAGGTAGCAATGATCGCGATACCCGTTAAATGCACCCGTTTGGTCAAGCTTTTTAAATGTCTTCTTTTGTTAAAGTTATTTTTCTTGTGAGATGAATTACCTGCCATTACTTTTACTTCTGCAAAGTTTTGTTTTCCCCAGTAATTCTCATAAACATGGTAAGCCGGACGCGTCAGTTCGATCAGGTATAAATATTTGTACGAGCTTTATTGTTCTAAAGCAGCCTTGTGGCTTACCTTTTTTCGTTAACTTAATCCCCCCATAGTCTAACAGTTCAATGAGATATCTATAAATTGTGACTCATGATGTGTTGTAGAATTCGATACAACTATATGTCGTCACATGCAGTAATAAATTTTGCTCCTCCCTTGATTTAAGGTGGGAGGCTTAGGTAATGACATTTTCGCTTCAGACCTATTAAAATGACATGTAAATCTTACTTGAATTTTCTATAATTCTGGAGAGTGCTTATTTTGTACGCGAAAGCGTAATGTATATTTCAAAGTTCTGCAACTCAGAAAATAAAGTTTCATATCATAGTTAGTTATAGTGCTACCGTTTTTCTATTGCGTGTAACGGCAATATCATTTTAGGGGTCGAACAGTAGCCATTTATCATCTACAAACTTGAAAAAAACGCCAGCCCATGACCACAAAATTACCTTTTTTTAAAACTAACATGTTTAAAAATTTGTATCAACTACTATGAGTCACAATAAAGATGAGCATGTTTTAACTTGTTGAAGTTCAGTATCATGTTCTTTGAATTTTCGGAAACGTATAAACTTGCAACAAAACCTGATGAATCCATGTGGAATGACTCGCCGCATTGGTTTTGATATTTGCCGCTTATTATGAATACATAATCTTACTGCTAAACTATTTTTTATATATTATCACAGATAGCGACACACGTGCAAACCACAAAATGCCAAAAAAGGTACAAGTGGCCAAGAAGGAAGAAATTCTCGGTGAGGACACCAACCGTATTGACCGGGAAGAGTACAAGTTGCAGAGTATGGTGAGCCCAGAGACACATGAAGCCAGCAGGTTTTTTGACAGGCCTCCCTCTAAAGAAATAGGCAATCTTCGAGTTGACACCATGTCTCCAGCTCAGGTGTCTTTCATTCAAAGCAGCACTCAGTGGCACAAGTACTTCAAACCGTCATCACCTGTTCAAGTGCCTTCAACAATCTTCCCTGATGATCCAGTACTATTTCCAGGAACGAAGTCTTCCAAGGATACCGGCAGTGATTCACAAGGTGTCACTGAGGGAGGACTTGAAAGTTTGGTAAATGCCGATGTTCCAAGGCATCATCAGAATAATTACGATAGCTGGAGTTCGTTTGGATCCTATGGTGACACAGCTGGCGGTGAATCGTATCAGCATCAAAAAGAATATGAGGATACCCCGTTTTTAGACAAGAGCTGGATGAATCCAAAATCCGAAGGAAAATCACCTGAACAAACAAGTTATGAGAGTTTTGATGGGAAAACACTAGCTGTACCAGAACCGAAACAAGGTGTCATGTCTGGTCTATTAAATCATTTCAGAAGCCAGCCGCTTGGAGAAAATGCTGGTTTGGGAAATGAAGGACAACATTCGAGCTCTCTAGAGGACCAAAAAGCAAGCCTTTTAGAGAAACTGGATGAGTTAAAGGAAAATCAAGTAATACCTCAAGAAGGAGAGGAAAAGGTCTTTTTTGGCGGGGGAAATCATAAGTCCCTTTTGCAGAGCGATGTTGAAAGTCCTCCACTGTTAGGACCCTCAGCAGGCCTGGGGACAGCACTAGCTGAAGAGCTTCTACAGAAAAATAGAGGCAAAAGTCAGAGAGTGGAAGACTCGACTGAAATGTTACAAGAATTAAGGGACACTGCTCCAAAGTTTCGATCGGAAACAAATGAATTATATGAATCTCCCCTCTTAGCTAGGCCTATGTTTGATGAAAGGGCAAGCGAGAGGACATTGATGCACAATAGTTTAAACAACTTTGGTAACGATAGGGGGCACATGGTATTGATAAGGAGCCACCAAATACAAGAAAACCAAAAGAAAGGATTTGTTAAAGATAATGGAATAAACACCACTGTACCTAGAAAGAAACAAACCAAAAATGATAACCACAAGAAAATCCACCAACAAAAGTTAAGAAATTCAGCTTCGAAATTGGTCAACATCAAAAACGTTTCTGTTTTACATCGCAAGAGACTTTGCAGGGAATGCTCCCTTCCTTCGCGGCGAAAAAAGGTTAACGGAAAGAAAACAAAGGAGCAACAATGAGACAGTTGAATGTTGGTAACTCTGTGGAATGCATGATGCAAGAAGTGACTTTAAAGTGCTAGAAATGAAGGGTGAAAACAAAATGCATTTTATACAATTAATACCATGAACTCAAAAACCTGGTTAACTCTTTGTGTTCCCAGCAATCGACTTTTTCTGTGATGATAAAGGTTTGTTTCGTAAAAAGGCTATGAAGTACAATTAAACTATTGCCCAAGGAATGAAGGCAAATTTCTCAGGAAAGAAACACTCTAAGATGGACCGGAGGCAAAGTGAAAGATTCAATTGGAAATACTGCTTTTATAGGAGACGTAACTCTTTACATCCCAGATGAATTTATATTTCATAGCTTTTCACGGTATACCAAACTTGGTCAAATAACCAATCTCAACATGTCCGTTTATATGGTGGTGTCAGTTTATCGATTAGTTTAAATTTGAAACTCGCCCCAGGTCCATACGCATCTCCGAAATGGCCAATATGGTATATTTTAAAACACTTTTTCAGAATTCTCCGAACAACGCTATATGGCCTAGCGAACTAATAAACCCGTTGCAATTCAAAATGGTTTGGCTCAGTTTTCGTCAAATAAAATTGTTCTCAGTTACCACTTGGTGCTTCATACATTTATTATTTAAAAAAATCGAATTGAATAAAAAGCACGTTATTTTGATGACTATGATGCTTCATCTATTAAATTTAATACATGAATGGAAAGAATTCATTTGGTTTTTCCAGTTGTGGTACAAAAAGGAAGTTGGGAATCGGTCTTTCATTTTGCTTCAAACCGCTCATGCAAGGAACAGGTGGCTGAAGGGTTGACAGGCCACCGGACGAAGAAGTAATTTGAAAGAGCGGGCGATGAAGAAAGGAATTTTTTGTATCCATACTTTCCTAATCATTTTATTTAGTCTGGTCCTTATCACAGGTATGTATATAATACCATTATTCAAGGAGACCAAAAACAAATCATTGCAAGAGGATATTGTATGAATACTAAACTACTTTTTGGAATATATAGGGTCCTAGAAGATGAACTTCAACCGTGATTGTTGATTTTGCGAAAAGTGATCTTAGTTATGAAATGGCGGATCTAAGTGAGGAAATGATCGCCAATAATATTTAAGGCCAGAAATAGCCAACATTAAATTCGCTTAGAGTTATCTAAAGATAGTATAGAAAATTATGTTTTAGCCTTAAATGTAGAGACTCGAAGATATTTCGAGCTAAATTGAAATCTCGACCAATAACCAAGGGGACGAAAACGGAGACAGCAAACGCCTGTAGAACTCAGTGTATGTAACAACATAAGACAGACGAACCTACCCAGTATCAAAACTTAATTGAAATGGTTTGATGCCGATATATTTGTAATTTCTATTCACAGTCAAGACACGCCCTCTTCCACACCGTCGATACGGTTTTCCTTATTTCATCCCAGTGCCGTTGGCCCTTCCGGGTGGAAGAGGTGTGAACTATTTGTCACATGAAACAGAGGCTTTCGGTGATGACTTGAGTTCTCGGATAAGTGAGCAAAGTCGTGATGTTGTCAATTTAGGAGATGATATACAACACACCACAGATGAACAAAGTGAATTGGTTGAGGACATCGGTAGAGAGGTGGACTCAGACGACTCCATGCCATTTCCAGCAAATCACCTGGAGGAAGATTTTCCATATGGAGACGATGAGGATGAGAATGGCCGAAAAATCGTCTAACCTGCCATATTGTATCTCCTTATACATAACAATTATTCACCTCAGTGTCGGTCGCTAGTGACGTTTTACCGAGGCGCGGAGCGGCACAGTAAATTTTCCAACACTAGCCACCTGCACTTCGGTGAATAATTGTTTTAGTATATACTAAAACAGTGAGATAATTGAGCACAAAAATGATGATTTTTAACTCATTTACTGTTGCCAACGATCTCATTACAATTTTGGCGCGCTCAATGACCGAACAGCCGTTGCGTTTTCTTGCCGACAAATAAAACTTTTGAGGGCATTTGTTTAACTCTTTGGGGAAATTTCTTCAAAAGGAGTTGCGAATTCTCTTTGTATTAAAAACCATTCTGTAAAAAAGAATAAATTTAGTTAAAAGCTTTTTTATGAACATGTAAGCTAAATAAAGTAACACAAGACTGAAACTTAACTTGCATTCGTAAACAAAATCCTTTATCATCGGTTTCATCGATTATACTACTACAGGAGATATTTCTGCAATTTGATTGGCTTAGAGCAGTAGTATTTCAGCTTAATTTGAAATACCTACATGTGAAAATTACAAACCTTTTGCGGGTAGAAGTATAAACAAATAATAGCCTGATTTGTACGTGATATCTGGCATAAATACCACTCGTGATATTTCAAAATTGTCTCAAATTTAATCAAAATCAAAAAACTCAGAATTACGTCTAACAATTTCGAAATATCACTCGTGGTATTTGTGCCAAATATCACTACAAATCATGCTATTACCTATACTAATTTTCTTGTCAAAAAGGCAAAGCTTTACCTGTTAGAACTTCCAAATCGAATTTCCTCACCTTCTTCGTGTATTTCGAGAACAGCTTTGTTTGCTACGGTAGCAAATAGGGAAGCCATTTTGCTCGTTAATTAGGGAAGATTGGCGTCACACGCTCGGAGGAGCTGGAGGTGAATCAGTGAATAGTATAGAACTATCCCCCGAAGGGGAGGTAAATGGTGGTGGATATAAATACCGAGACGTGAAGCGTTGAGGTATATATCTATCGCTGCTCACCGACCCTGAGGGTGATAGTTGTTTTAGTATTTACCAAATCAGTTTGATAAAAATGAAAAAAAAGTACAAACGTTACTTAGCAGGAACTTTGTTGACAATTTACAAACATTTCGGGGATATTATCAAGGGCATTTTTAGTTTTTTTTTTTTGCAAATTAATCACGAAAATAGTTTTCTACCTACATGTACCAGTGAACACCAACAAACCAAAGTTCGTCGCTGTCTTGGTAATTGCTTGTACGACTGCCTCATTTATCGCTCAAATTTCGTGTTCCGAAAATGTCTTCAAACGAGACGCCATCTTGGGTCCTTTCGCAAAACAGTGAATAGCAAAGTATATTCCGACTTACGGAAGCCAATCAAAACGCGCGAAAATTGCTATTCACTGATTTGGTAAATACTATATAACAGTTATTCATCGAAGTGGAGGTGGCTAGTGGTGGTATATTTACCGAGGCCGCGTAGCTTAATTTGCCTAATTTTTATTGTAAACAGAAAACTTTTTCACCGGTTTTATCGATAAATTCGAGTCAAAAAGACAAAGCTGTACCTGTTAAAACTTCCAAACCTAACTTTGTCACCTTCTTCGTGTATTTCGGGAACAGCTTGCTTGATTAGTTGTGAAATTTCTTTGTTTGTTACGGCAGCAAACCGGGAAGGCATTTTGCTCGCAACTTACGCGAGTTTGGCGTCGCTCGCTCGGAGGAACTGGAGGTGAATCATCGAATAGTACAAGATATTCATTGATTGAGTAGCCAATCAGAGCGCGCAAAAAACACTATCCACTGTTTTAGTATATGCCAAAAAATATACAGTAAAGCTTCTCAGAACATACTCAGTATCTCACATTTCAGGAAATATAAGACCTTGCATAGCTGAAAGCAATAACATGTTGAAATAGTGGTAAAAACGAGAAAGAGAGAAAAAATTATGAAAGCCCAAATGGGAGACATGTCCTCTGGCTCCCAGGGTCAATACCGTAAACTGCCTCTTATAAGTCCCGGGCTTATAAATCTTCTTAAGATGTTTTAGGAGGGCTTACAAACGGAGGACTATATATCCTAGGGGGTATATAATCGGAATAGAAAAAGCGCTTCGAAACAAGCTATAGCACGGTGCTTATCAAAATACGTTTTGCATTTGCTGGTATTTTATTTACGCCATAATAGATCGAATTCATTTCAATACATTTGGTGAGGGACTTATATCCAGAGGAGCTTTAATTTAATCGCATGTATTTTATGTTTACCGGTAAATGGGCCTTCAAATGGAAGGCCTTACAACTGCGGAAGCTATTTAAGCGGCAGTTAATGGTAGCTGAAAATGGAGACGCTAGATTCAGAGTTCGGAATTCAGTGCGCTGCTCGTAGACATGAATTGCTTTATCCAGTGAATTACGCTATCCAGTCAGTTCAAAAAACGAAGAGTGGGCCTAGTAGGGTGAAGGGAGGAGCAAAGTTGGGCTTCCTTGTTTCCCCTGAGTGACTATGAAAAGTCCATCTCGGTTGCTACGGCGCGTAACGGATTGGTAACTTAAACAGCATATATATATTCGTAGGCCTTTGCTACGTTTCCAGGAAACTTAACCCTGTTCAGGAAGAATGTTAGGCCAGATCAGGTCGTAACTTTGTTCGTGTGTTGTAGCAATGTGGCACTAAATTGGAACACCTAGGTCTCGTTCCATGGAACATGTTTGAGGTTTAGCACGGGTCAGATCTTTACTTCAACGTCTGACGGTAGCAATTGTTACGTGATGCTGGAGTGCCACAATTCCATGACTTCTCCATGAGTCAATATCTGTCTGGACCTTGTAAGAAATTAAGCTACCTCGCCGGCCGAATATAAGGTCTTATAATTTTTTTTCTCTCTCTGAACGCAAATCATTAGCAAGAAGTGACATACACTGAGCGCAGGAGCATATAGATAACAAAGAAGAATGCTCCTCTCTCTCCAATATCCCTCGCGGCTCTCTCAAACTAGGACTAACCTTATGATTTTTTAAAGGCCTTTTGCGCGCAAACTAATTTATTCTGGCGCGAAATGAAGATTAACAAAATGCATACTGAAATGTAATACACGACAAGAAAATGTTATCCCTTTTGATCGCATATTAATAAAGGAACAGTATCCCGTCACTGCGCATGTACCAAACTTTGATTTTCTGACAAGATGTCGCAAATTCAAAACACGTGGGGCAGGAACGCGTGACGCACCCCTAAGAGGCGGATGCGAGGAGGGTAAGAGAACCTTGAAAACTCCGTTTGCATCGCGTTTGGCCGAGTTTGATACTACACCGAAACCTCTCAGAATTACAGATCAAGGATATATTGTCCCCGTTGAGAGAGAGGACCAAGAGAAGGAAAGCGCTTTAATGCCAGTTGAAGGCTTATTTCTCCCACCAGCTTCCATACCAGCTCAGATAATCGTGAAAGGAATATGCAGAAATAGAACAGTAACAATAGAGACTATGTAACAAAGAAACTATTGAGACATGGATGTGACTGAGGAGATCAGAGGAGATCTTGAGGAAGCTTCGTGAAGCACAATGTTCATTGCAACGACGTGTTTTAGTAAACTGTTAATTAAACGGTTACGGCCGACAAAATCAGTGTTTAGGCAAACGGGTGCAATGAAATCGTAACATACAATGTGTGACTAACCTTCGCGATGCTTCATCGACGGTTGAGACTGCCTTTTTATTCATATCTTTCGAACTTTTGAGGCTCGAGCGTGAGCAAATATTACTGGACTTAGACTTGCCACAAATTGACCTCTGACACTAGTTTCACAGCATAAAAGCTGTAAAGTGAGCGAAACATTTTAGGTCGCGAGGCTGTTGAGCCAGCCAGAAAATCGCGAGCTAAGAGTCTTCGTGCAGCCAACCTAATTTTTGATAAGACGAAAGAATTATTTGGAAGTCTAAAATATTACTTTAGAATGTAAACAACAAATCTTCGTCGGCGGTGCGGTCCGGAAGGAAATCTTGTCGCGTCAAAATGACAGTTCTGTTGTATTTTGAAGAAAAACAGATGACGCTCGCGCGTGCGTATAATCGGGACAATGTCCCTTTAAACAGTGCGGGCCATAGACAATTTTGTCTATGTGGTTTCTTGCAATATGATTGGTCGAGGAAAAACCAAAACAAAGACAGTGGCCAAGAGAAACTGGGGCGACCTAGACCTTGTGCACGGAAATGTGCACGGCGGCCATATTGCAACGGGACAACATTACCGTAAAAAATACACACAAAAGTGACAATAATTTAACGAGAAACAAAATTTAATTCTGGATTTGTACGTCATGAATCATATTGTATGTTCTAATTTTCGATATCGATTATCATCAGCCCTCCATTCTCGCACTCCGCTAAGGACGTGTGGACTCTATCGTGCACAGCCTTTTTTGAACTCGCGTGGCATGGACCTTCAAATTGAATAGTTGCCGGGATGTAAGCCCCTCCACCAGCCTGTTTATTTCTTTGGAGCTTTTGGGCTGCGTTGAGACGAACAGTAACCGTCGGCTCTCCGTTGACAATCCTTAGAGAGAAGAGACAAACGCAGATTAAAAAAATCAGGCCGACGAATTCGAAAGTTGTTCACCAGTGCAAGTAAACTGAATAGCTTCGTTTCAGTTTATTACACATAAAAATATTCAAACTAAGGAGATAACCGATAATTCACTTACCCTTCAATCCGCGATATNAACGAGAAACAAAATTTAATTCTGGATTTGTACGTCATGAATCATATTGTATGTTCTAATTTTCGATATCGATTATCATCAGCCCTCCATTCTCGCACTCCGCTAAGGACGTGTGGACTCTATCGTGCACAGCCTTTTTTGAACTCGCGTGGCATGGACCTTCAAATTGAATAGTTGCCGGGATGTAAGCCCCTCCACCAGCCTGTTTATTTCTTTGGAGCTTTTGGGCTGCGTTGAGACGAACAGTAACCGTCGGCTCTCCGTTGACAATCCTTAGAGAGAAGAGACAAACGCAGATTAAAAAAATCAGGCCGACGAATTCGAAAGTTGTTCACCAGTGCAAGTAAACTGAATAGCTTCGTTTCAGTTTATTACACATAAAAATATTCAAACTAAGGAGATAACCGATAATTCACTTACCCTTCAATCCGCGATATCTTGCCACGCTCCAGAAGGTAGGATAGCTCCCTGTTTAAAAAATACTGAATTCTGCCGATCAGAGACCTTCGCACATCTTTCAAAGTGACTCTTTCGCTGTAATTTGCTGTAAATAGCCATTTTCCGCAAAGGCTCCGGAATTAGTTCCACTTCTACAGGGATAAGACATGCCAGTGCGAGGGGATCATACTCGTTGTAAGCTTCCTTTCTAACGATAAATGGTGTCCCAGTTGGTGCGTTAACCTTGAAATGGTGATATGTGAAAATTATGCAAATTAAATAGCGTAAGCGATGGATATAAGCGCTACAGTAAGGCTTTGTTTTCTAAAGGAATTTCACATGATTGATCCCAAAGTGGCAATAACAAAACAGTTTAAAGACTGTTAAGCTTATTCAAAAGCTATTACCAAGGAAGGAACAACGCGCTCCAATAAAAAGACACACTATCTTTAGAAAATCACTAAGCTGGAGTTGACTGTGTCACAATTCAATTCTCCATGGTACGTTGATGTAGCTTCAGTTTAAGCTGCACTTCATTGTTATAATTTTCTATCTGTAAATCACTATCCGTGATAACTGATTTTAAAACATTCTGCAAAGACTAAGAGCTGGGCTCAGCCTGGTACAGCATTGCAGAAAAACATTACACTCACGGACTAAAGAAAATCGCTTAGTTATTCAGATTCAGACGGCATTTTGGAGAAAGTTGGAACCTTTATTCAGCTGTAATAAAAAGCTTTACGCTTCAAAAGAGGTAAAAAAAAAAATGTACTTGCATCCGAGGGCAAATCTGCAGACCAGAAACAATAACCACTACAGTAAATCGATATGTGTGTCATGACCTCTCAGTGTCAAACATTCAGCTTAAATCACATTTGCTCAGTGAAAATGTAGAACCTTCCAGAGCATAATCTACCCAGCGGAGAAAAAACACTTTATTGGAACGAGCACCATTTTGGCATGAGGTAAAAGTCGTGTAGGCTTCCCACCCCCTTTTATTGCTAAAGGAAAATGCATGTATGAAAGCTTTTGTATGTATCTTAATTCTAAATAATTATGACTGCACAATAAATAAGTCTAAAGCCTTATTGCAATGTCATGTCTTTAAACCTCTAAACAGCCGACTTGTAATTCTTTTTCTCATGTATAGAGACGAAAAACCAAGGACTAAAACGAATATAATACGACTATCCACCAACTGAAAAGAAGAGCAAAATAGACCTTTTTTAATTTGGGGCGGGTATACGTTCTCGAGCTATTTTGATGATGTCATTATGTAGACAAAATTGTCTATGACCCGCACTGTTAAATGGCATTAAATCGCCTTCGCTGCCCACAAAGCTTTGATATCCTTTATGACGGTACTTCCAATTAAAACCCTCTGCGTCCTTTCATGGCAATGGCCTAAAGTTTATTGTTCAAAGTACAAGGGAAGTAGTTAACAGGAGCTACGCTCTTAGGCTTGGCTAATCAGTCCTTAATCTCTTAGGACTTTATGCTGCTCGGCCTGTCTCACTATCTTATCATTCTCAACATCCCCTCATCACTTATTTCTTTCTCTTTTTAAATCTATATAAGTAAACATTTATTCATGAATTTATTGTTATTATTGCTATTATTATTATTATTTTGATGACTTTATTACTTTTTCGTCAGAACACTCTCAAAGTGAAATACTTGAGAATGACAGAAAAACGTCATTTCTCTTTTCTCCTAAAGACTTGGCAGAAACTTTGCACTGTAGCAGAGTTAACATTACTGATGTTTTTTAAAACCGATTTTGTAATAACATACTTCTTAGAGAGAACACATGCATTGATAAATATGATAGGAAATTGTCAAATATACCAATAGAGTTACATAGTTTGTTACATAGTTTGGCAACTATATCGCAGTATACTTCTTTGCGAGAGCGATTCATGCGAAAACACCACCGGTCAAAACTGGTGTGAACGGGTGTTTTACTATTTATTGTTTAAAGTACAAGGGAAGTAGTTAACAGGAGCTCCGCTCTTAGGCTTGGCTAAATCAGTCCTAAATCTCTTAGGACTTCATGCTTCTCGGCCTGTCTCACTATCTTATCATTCTCAACATCCCTTCATCACTTCTTTCTTGCTCTTTTTAAATCTATATAAGTATACATTTATTCATCACTTTATTGTTATTATTACTATTATTATTATTTTGATGACTTTATTACTTTTTCGTCCGAACACTCTTAAAGTGAAATGCTTGAGAATGGCAATAAAACGTCATTTCTCTTTTCTCCAACAGACCTGACAAAAACTTTACACTGTAGCAGAGTTAACATTACTGATGTTTGAATTAAAACCGATTTTGTAATAACATACTTAGAGAAAACACATACATTGATAAATATGATAGAAAATTGTGAAATATACCAATAGAGTTACATAGTTTGTTACATAGTTTGGCAACTATATCGCAGTATACTTCTTTGCGAGAGCGATTCATGCGAAAACACCACCGGTCAAAACTGGTGTGAACGGGTGTTTTACTCAAAAGATTTTTCCACCTTTTTACGTTTCATGTAGGAGTTCCCACCGAGATGATTGTGCTAAAATTCTGTCAACGAGACAAGTGATTTAAAGTTTAAGCGCCGCCCAACCGCCTTACACTCCATTCCCTACTGAGGTAATTCTCGAAATCAAGCATCAGATAATTGCTATGTCCAAATTTGGAGCCCACCGTCAGAGGCTTTAATTTGTTTATCGCATGCATCAAAAGTCGCGAAAGATAATGGCGGATTCTATTATGGCATGAAATGTTTTGTCTAGAAGAAAGCCACAAATGGTAGGTAAACTTTTAATTTTGTATAACGAAAACAAAAAACATATCTTCTTTAATTTGTTGTTTTGTCGTCGGACATGACTCCTCTTTGTTTACGAATTACGACATTTTGGGTGAGAGAGAAATGTCATAATTATCAGCTCGATTATTTTTTTCTCACCTTTCTCTCCTTAGCTACCGTTAGAATTGTTATAACTCTTACTCTTAAAGAGTTATTTAAACCTTTGCTTCGTATCTTATTGCACATAAACAACTCCTGCGTGTTTGTTTTAAATGTTTTGGTGGCTGGCGTTGTGCTAAGGAAGGGTTGAATATTTATTTATTTGGACGACCTGTGCATCCTTAATCGTCCTATTGACTTTGTACGCGACCCAAACATTAAGTTTGATTTGTGCTTTATAACATAGCATTTCACTATGTTTTGTAAAGTTTGTTCAAATATGAATATAGAGTTAGTTCATTGTATGCAGTAAAATGCAAGTCAAATGTAGACGTTGAATCTACTTTGCACCGCCCGATGAATCAATTGTACATGGCTTTTACCAGTACTTTGAAATTGATATTTTGCGCGGCAACTGAACGGAAGAAAAATTCAAAATATAAGACATCAACCGACGAAATAGAAAAAGTAGGGAGCCTTTTGTTTTTTTTAGCGCCAATAAACAATTTTGTATTTTTTCTTATATCGTTAGATTAAAGTTCCAATAAATTTTAACAGCTCTTTCGTATCTGTCCGTTAGGTGAAATTTGTCGTTTGAACAGGGATAAAATAGCCAAATTTAATCAAATTACTTTTAGAGAAAAGTGTCGTTATTTAGCTTAATAATATTTATACATAAATATGTCCATACATAGCTGAGTTTTGTCGTTCACTTGTTTTTATAATCTTGAAAAGTACCACCGGCAAAATTAGTATCAACTTGTTGACGCGTTTAAACAAAACAATTAACCGTTTAACTCTTTTTAGGTCTACAAAAAAATGTTCCAGTCCTTGATAGAAATTAGCTAGCTCAACTCAATACCAGACTGTTGAAAAATTAGAAACTAACGCAATGCGGTCAATATTTTTAGGGCATAAAGCATGTGAGGGAACGCCAAGGAGTCATTGACTGTAATGAATAATTTACTGGGCTTTTTGTCCTTACTACTGGTGGAATGGCCCCTAAGTGGATCAGGTAAAACAAATCATTACTTCAAAAGTTTGGGGAAAACGCCTTGCATTGTATCACGATTGATGCCATGTTTGAAATTTTTTAAAAAGGCAAACTTTTTAGTTGAGATGTTTACTCTCCCGCACGAGCAAACATCAGTGTTGAGTTTAAATGCTAAGGAGAAACCTTTGCTACGGAGGGCGATAATGGAAACCCTAGAGTCATAGCAACTTTTGTTCAGCCTTCGCTATTTCGGAAAGTAATTCCCTTTGGATGAATTTAGAATCACAAACACAGTACTATAAAGGATGAGGTGAATTTGGGTGGTGGGTAATCTTGAAAGAAAAGTGAAAGAACAGAAGCGGCAATAACAGCATTATTTCTGATCGCATGATATTTCAGTGTATATCTTATGGCTAAGAAGAAAATACCTCTTCTGATCCAACAAAGTCCACTATCCACTAAGCCATTTCCGAGATACCTCCAACTTTTTTCTTCAAAACGAGGCTGCGTGCACAGTGTTTGATATGATTGCTATTCCTATTCTTATCCATTTAACACCAATTTGACCTGAATGAGGGGTCTTTGGAACTTGGAATGGCCCTTTTTAAGTGGGATGGAATAATTTTGGTCGCTTGCATTTTTATCGAGTCAATAATAATATAATGTAAAGTCATTTTTCCTGAGACCAGAGAGAACAGTCATTAATAAGGTTAAAATGACATAAATCTCTAAATGCGGTACAGTAACTGAATCACGAGATTTGATTCCCTCACACCGTTGAAAGCTTAAGATTATAAAATTTCTGGCATTGCTACGGCAACATGATGCTTTAACAGAAGAAACCGGAAAATAGGGACCGGTCATTATTTATTCCGGGGAGGGGAGGAGGTAGGATATTGGTTGAGACAACGGAGCACTTACGTGACCCCCCCTTAAAGCATACAGTGTGGTTTTGATCCCCCGCATTGGCGGTGGGAGATTTCATGATCCCCCCTCTTCTATCTCAGCCACCACAGAAAGCCAGTGTTAGTGCTCCCAAGAAGCGAAAGCACGCAATTCTATAATTTTAACGCTCTGGACAGCTACAAGTCCTGAGGAACGACACGGCATCGCCAGAAAATGAGTCATAGGAACAATTTCTGCTTCCTAACCCACATACCGATAAGTTGAACTTTTACAACAGTGTTGTTAGGTAGATTTATGAATTTATGAATCTGCTATTTGTAGCAAACAAGCCGGATTCAAACAGTATCTCCTTGAATAACAGTAAATGCGCTGGCAGTTAAACACAAAAGTAAAAGATAGGGAAAACAACCTTCTGAGAAACGAGAAGTGGGGAGTATGTCAAAATATCACAAAATTCATTGTTGTCAAGTGTGAGTCCTTCTTGACCACTAAAAGTGACACCTTGAAATCCTCGGCATATTTGTTATCATTCATCGACAAGCAAGCGAAAAGTCCTTTATAGGGAAGACCATACTCAAAACCCTTCTTCGACGAGCTGAAATATTTTCAGGAAGCTCAAAAACGAGAAAGGTGCTCCACGAAAAACTTCAAGAAGCCTCAAATAAGCTGGCGACAACCCTTATAAACCTGAAAAGGAAGTTTCCATCTCGCATTGGAAAAGATCGACAATCGAGAACAATAGAAAGGTGAAAACTTAAAGGAGAAGCATTCACAGCATAGTGCATACTTGCTTCTCGAAAGTACTCACCTCAAGAAAGGTAGCTGGAAAGGTGTCATCCTCAGAGACCCAGGGGCAGATAGTGGGGGCGAGGGAAAGTCTAAACGGGCGGAAAAATATTGCACGAAGAAAAGTAAAGAACGGCGAGAAGAGCCCCTGGGGACGGTCGGTCTTCGCCGTTCTGGGTTCTGAGTCGTGCCAAAAAAACACAAGTTTTCTGCCACCAATCAGAAGCCAGAACAGCGGCGACCGTTTGGAACTGGTCTGGTAAGACATTGTCCCCAGGGGCTCTTCTCGCCGTTCTTTACTTTTCTTCGTGCAATATTTTTCCGCCCGTTTAGACTTTCCCTCGTCCCCACTATCTGCCCCTGGGTCTCCGAGGATGGAAAGGTGTTTGATGCAATCCAAACTTTCAAAAGTTTTACAAGCTTCACTCTAATCATATATTGATATACCATGTATATATTTCTTACTTCCGTTGTTGTAATTTGTAATGACGGTATACCGCCACGTTTATCGAACGTTCTTACTACGGGGATACATTTCAATAACTCTAAAGAATTTAAAACAAGGAAATTTGTGGACATTTTAACTATAGAACTTAAACACTTTTTAGCATCACGTTTAATACATACGCACAACCACTGACTATTTTGTTATATTAGTCCGTGTCTGAACAAGATCATCGCAAAGGTAATAAATTGATCCCACCGCTTCAAATAATTTTCGCCTTTTTTTTCCTGGTCCCCTCTTAGTGCCTGTCAATTATCTCTGTTCTCTTGAAAATCGTGTGATCCCCCAAATCCTCCGCCCCCCTCAGGGCGACAAATAATGACCGGTCCCTAAGTGTTCATTTAAAAAAAGGAATTTAAAATTCGCATTCATGTTTTCTCTTGCAGTTGCACTACCTCAACATGGACCGTATCTAAGTCCAAGTTACCAAAGATCTTCAAGGGTCAAAAGCGAGACTCAATCTTATCCGCATAATTCTGTTACACAAAGACTTCCAAAGGCTAATCCTTGGGGTCGTTATGGGGTTTCTCCTTGGACATCACATGGAACTTACATGGATAAAAACTATCTCAAAAGTATCTCAAAGAAGGGTGATTTCCATACCCATAAATCTCTAGCCAATACTAAAAACGCCGCATCTCGGTTGTATTGGAAACCACAACTAAGACACAGCATGTTTTCTTTGTCAAATGAAAGAACAAAGAAAACGAGTATTCCTCATACGGGAAGATCGTTCAGACTTAGACCCACCATTAAAAAGGCAACGCTTTCTCCAGAATCACGTTGGACAAGAAACCAAGTAGACAGTAAAAAGAAGAAAAAACAGTTCATAGTAGCAAACTGGGGTGGCTTAGGACTTGGAAATGGTTATGCACTTGGGTTAACAGGGACGCCAACGGCCACGTATAGCGCGGGACTCGGAACGGGTTACGGGACGGGTCTGACTACTGGTCTTGCCTCTAATTACGGCGCTGGGATTGGAACTATGCTTACAACCGGGACAAATGCCTTGGGTTCAGAGGGAGTCTTAGATACCCGGCAGAATTTTGGCACAAACTACGGTACGAGCAACAGCCAAAGTTCTCTGGGATTAAGCGACCTTTCCGCAGCAGGACTTAGCTCCTTGACATCCCAAACGGGAGTAAATTATTTATCGAATTTAGCTGGAGGAGGAGAAACATCCGATTTAAATTCTTTAAACTCCATAAACCAATACCAAAACAGTGATTTGGATATCTTGGACAATAATAGGAATTCAAATACTGGATTAGCCGGGCTTAACTCTTTCGATGGAACTGCACAGAGTCAACAATATGCTGGGAACAATAATCTGCAAAACTCTTTGGAAGGGAAACTTACTGTGGGTGGTGGAGGAAGACAGGGAATTGGAGGATGTAAGTTCACATAATTTTTTCATTAACTCCTTAGTCGTTTTGTGCAGTAATTTATGAATCGGAACAGTAGAACAGATAAATTGCAAGAAAGGTAAATCCGAGGCCAAAGTAGGCCCTACCTTTTGCACCAATACATTCTGCTGACTAGACCAAAGTGGTTTTCAATGTGTCGTCCTTACTAAAAATTATGATTATTATGATAATGATAGATTTTTACCACCCTAATAGACCTTTTTAGCTTTTAGCAAGAGAGGATAAAGGGGACAGAGAAGGCATCCCCCATACACACCCTATTCCATAGGTAATTCGTCCCGAGATATTTTTAGAATCCGAATAAAGTTACCTCGCGCGCTGCGTGGATGTTTCGTGGAGGTTTCGCATGACTAAACGCCGTGCAAAACATGTCGGGCCAAAGGTAATGAAAGCGTAAAGAGATCGAGAGCATTCCTGAATATTGAAGCGAAATGACTCGGCGCTCACCTGGGAAAAGGAAATCGCTGGACTCTTTGACAACCCACGAAATCAGTTTAACTGGAAGTTGTCGTAACCTCAGTGCCTTAATAAAATGAGAAATTTCGCCGGTCTTTTGAAACCGGTCGTTTGTACAATAAAGCAAGTAGGACGCCAAGTGTTATTTTTGTTGAATAATAAAAGACTAATAAAAGAATGAATATCAAACCAGAAATTACTCTCTTCAAACTGTAAATTGTAAATGATCGTGAGAGAATATTCAGTGTGTTAAGGATTTCCCTGCTGTACTGTTAGCTCTATACAAGAGAGGAAGGCTGATTCTTTTATATTTTCGTTTCCCTGACACAGCGTTAGCAGAAATCTCTCTTTAGTCGTTCTCGTCAACAAGACGAATAGCAATATCGCTCTCCGCATCTTCCGCTATTTTGTCCTGCGTTAATTCGTGATGGGCGCTTGGCTCTGAGCGTGGGTCATCCACGCGGAACACATTCGCGCGATGTGACGGCTGTTGTCAAATCCCCCTTGAGATTTGGTGTTGTTGGTGTTGTGGTGTTAAAAATAACTCGAGACGAATTACCTATGGAATAGGGTGCCGGTATGGGGGATGCCTTCTCTGTCTCCTTTATCCTCTTTTGGCTTTTAGGTCATTATTTTCCTAGTTAAGACCACGTGATGTTCTCAGGAGAAGTTGCCCTTTTCATTCGTTACGCACACATAATTATGCTCGTGTGGAGCGCGTCATTTAAAAGAATCAATTTTCTTGGGTAACGTCACATGGTCTGCGATGAACAGACAAGCTTAAAAGGTCCATTAAAGGGTATCGTCCCTTGAAAAATGCTATGACTAATTAGTTTGCACTCAAGGATTTGGAACTTGACAACGTATCCCAATCTAGGGGCAACTCTGAGCATTACAAATTTCATCGCTTTCATAAAAGTTTCAGTAACTTTCTATCTTAAGTATAATTTCAGGAAGGTGGCATCATTTTCAATACTGAAACTTGTTATTGCTTTCAAACAGCAATGGATCTTGGCATGGATGGATTAAATGACCTTGGTGGAGGCAACAGCTTGTCTGATAGCTCCCTGCAGCAGCTCATAGGGCAAATAATGAACACTGGTGGAGGAGGAGGGGTTGGGGCTGGTGGAGGGAGAATGGGAGGTGGAGGGGCACGTATAAACGACAATAGCGACAACATGGAAGGGGACATGGGAAATCTTGACCTTGGATCACTCGGGATTAATCTTGGGGGAATGGGAAATAAGCAGGGAAATGGAATGGGAAACGCAATGGATAATGAGATGCAAGACCTCGGAGGGATGGAAAATAACATGGGAAACGAGATAGGTGGTATGGGAAACGCAATGGCAGGAATGAGTAATGGAATGACAGGAATGAGCAATGGTATGGGAGGAATGGGTAATGGAATGGGAGGAATGAGTAATGGAATGGGAGGAGTGGGTAATGGAATGGGAATAGGAGGTGCCGGAATAGCCATGGGGATGGGAGGTATGGGACATGGCATGCACATGGGGGGTATGCATATCGGTGGGCATGCTGCAGGGACTATGGGAGGCCAGGATATGACTAACACAGAGGTGAGTGAAATAAAGCAAACACTCAGCGAGACTACAAACGTCTATTTTACGATAAAAGAGCCCTGCTAACTTTAAAACTGTGATGGAATCGTCAATTGGTCAAATATGCTGATACACAGAGCAAGGGGAAGGGGGGGGGGGAGGTGGTTGTATCTACAGAAATTTATATTCTAAAAAAAATGTTTCAGCAATAAGTGACAGAAGACATTTCTGATGTCGTTATAAATGGTCTGTAACGAAAGTACCATATTATAGTTTTATAAAGGCGCATTTTAAAGGTGACTCTAAAAAATCGTTTCAGCGCTGCTTTAAGACATGGCCTGAACAATCTTTCCTTTTCCTAAAATAGCCGATGGGTTACAAGGAAAAACACCCGCAAATAATTCATCTTTACTTTGTGTCTGTCATGTGTTTAAATACCTAATAATCTAACGTGTTACTATCCCAATAAAGGCTAGTGACAACTATGAATGAGGCATCCAGTTTTTTGGTTTTCTGTCCTTTGTATTTGGATATATGTCACGTGAACATTGCTGTCTTAGGTCAGTTCTGTGCCTAGGCAGTACTTAGTGCCTTTACCCATTCCTAAAATACTCCTGGAGAAGATATGAAACAAATTTCACCAGGAAGCACTAACCTCAATCATTTTTTGTTGTTTTTTTGCAAGGATAGCATTAAAACGTTAATACGTTCGCCAATTTAACCCTTGTCCATCCTTACCATACTTAGAAACAGCAGACAGGAAACAGTTTCAATGCCTAAATTTAGTCTTAGATAAAAAAAAAGGGACCGTTATTTTTGGAAGTCACTTCAGGAATGCCAAGACATTTTTTAAAAGATAGCAAGTAGCCTAACATGACCCCTTTAAGATACCAATCGAGTGACACAAAAAGTTTGAAGTTCACATTTAGATACATTTTTTACAGTTCCTAAGCAGTGATTTGTGTGTTTTATTGTTTATTAATCAGGCAGACGATGCACAGCCGTCTGACTCCCCTGATGAGCAGCCTATGACAGGTTTCGGCATGCAACGTCCACTGGCCATTGCGCCTATCGTACCTGGACAAACTGTGCATGCGCACGCTAGTGACAAGCCAAAACGACCAACTTATCCGACATCCGACGTCTCACCAGCAGATATGGCATTGAAGGTTCAACTTAAAGCACATAGAGAACATCAGATAAAACTAAAGGTGAGATATAATGGAACGGCATTTAATTTTTTTACGGGTAGCCAACGCGACCGTTGTAAAGTCTGTCGAGTGTCGGCTATTTCCTGGGCCGAGTTGTTCAAAGCCGGGTTAAGATTCAGGGCGTAAAAACGTAATGAGCATGCGTGAACTTTTTTGCCCAGATCCCCTGGCCGGGTTTGAAAAAATGGCGGGATTTCAAATATTTTTTTGCCTAAAAATAAAATGTTTCCACTCATAACCTGGAAAGAACAAGCAATTTGTCTTCAAACGTTGCAAGCTATGATTACTTAATTTTCTCGAAGAATACCTCATAGTAAAACGGACTTAAACGACATTAATTTCGTTGCGTTGTACTGGAAATGTGCATGCGGAGGTCCGATTTTTTTCAAGATGCATTCACAAAATGTGTTTATATAAGGAAGTTCCTGGATATATAAGGTCCGGAGCTCCACTGTGGACACAGAAACAACATATCTTTGTACAGTGATTTGCCCAAAAAAATTAACGCTTGCCCACAATGTGTTTGAAGTCACCTAACTTTGTCGCACTCGAGCTGATATTTAAAACCCACGCTCGATCGCACACTCGTAGCTTCGCAGATCACTAAAATATAAACAAAATCCTCAATATAGATTAGTTATTGCGTTGATATGTGGGCAGAAATAGGTCAATCTTTATCTAGTAAAATCTTCCCAAAAATCGGTTTCAAAGCAACTATAGTTTTTTAAACTTGATCGTTTCACGCAGATAAATTTTGCTTTGTCGTGTTGTCAAGTTGAACATGCATCACACCTGTCAAAAACCTAGCTACGCGTAGGTAAGATTTCTTTCAAACAAAGTTAAAGTTACATTGTTGCAAAAACTTTAAGATCGCAAAGACATGAGACAAGAAAAGAACAATTCCATCATGCACAAAATTCAGCTTAAGTGAACTTTAAAAAAGCTTCAATCGTGTTCAATAAGGTTGCAAAACAACAATTATCATTAAAAAAACAGAAGGCTAGAGGCTCTTGGCTGACAATGACAATGAAGAAATGAATTTTCTGTACGAAAACAACCTACCTAAAGATCTTAAAAGCAAAAGATCAATTTAAAAGCTTCCGGCCAAGCTATGATTCACCATTTAGCCATGTTTAATAACTTGTCCATGCGAGGGACTTCATTCAAGCAAATTAAACTCACTAAATCATTAGAAAGTACAGAAAACTGCACATAAGGGTTTGTTTTGCAAACTACTGTTTTGAAGTCATTGCAGGCAGTTGTCGTTCTCTACTTCACAGCGGGTGAAAAGGAAAATTTGCGTACAGAAAGAAAACAAAACTATTAAATAAAAAATGAAAAGAAAAAATTAAACCTCTGACTATTATTACTTGAACAACAGAAAAAGGATCGAATGAAGGTAAATTAAAAAATCTGGGCAAAAAAGTAACCGTAACTACTAATAAGAGAATACAAGCGGGTTTTAATTCAGCCCGGCGATAGAAGGCGAAGCACTGGACACAAAATCAACTCACAAATCGAATGCACAATTAACAGAAAAATACTCTCCTCTTTGAAAATGTTCAAAATGTTTATTCCACCTCAGACTGACGGAATGATCCGTTCTTTCTTTAACATTGGTTGTTCTGAATCCAAAGTAATTTTCAAGGACGAAAAACAACAACAACAACAACAACAACAAAAAAGAATAAAAACGCTTTACAGACCTCTACAAGGAGCAAACGTTCGCACCTCGTGCATTTGACAAACAAAGGACAGTCGACACGGCCAGTCAACACACAGAAAAGCCCGCCGTGAGCCTGCGATAAGGGATGCGCAGAATCTTGCGCAGAACGTTTTTCCTCCCTGAAGGGTTAAAAAACACCCGCAAATAATTCATCTTTACTTTGTGTCTGTCATGTGTTTAAATACCTAATAATCTAACGTGTTACTATCCCAATAAAGGCTAGTGACAACTATGAATGAGGCATCCAGTTTTTTGGTTTTCTATCCTGTGTATTTGGATATATGTCACGTGAATATTGCTGTCTTGGGTCAATTCTGTGCCTAGGCAGTACTTAGTGCCTTTACCCATTCCTAAAATACTCCTGGAGAAGATATGAAACAAAATTTCATCAGGAAGCACTAACCTCAATCATTTTTTGTTGTTTTTTTGCAAGGATAGCATTAAAACGTTAATACGTTCGCCAATTTAACCCTTGTCCATCCTTACCATACTTAGAAACAGCAGACAGGAAACAGTTTCAATGCCTAAATTTAGTCTTAGATAAAAAAAAAGGGACCGTTATTTTTGGAAGTCACTTCAGGAATGCCAAGACATTTTTTAAAAGATAGCAAGTAGCCTAACATGACCCCTTTAAGATACCAATCGAGTGACACAAAAAGTTTGAAGTTCACATTTAGATACATTTTTTACAGTTCCTAAGCAGTGATTTGTGTGTTTTATTGTTTATTAATCAGGCAGACGATGCACAGCCGTCTGACTCCCCTGATGAGCAGCCTATGACAGGTTTCGGCATGCAACGTCCACTGGCCATTGCGCCTATCGTACCTGGACAAACTGTGCATGCGCACGCTAGTGACAAGCCAAAACGACCAACTTATCCGACATCCGACGTCTCACCAGCAGATATGGCATTGAAGGTTCAACTTAAAGCACATAGAGAACATCAGATAAAACTAAAGGTGAGATATAATGGAACGGCATTTAATTTTTTTACGGGTAGCCAACGCGACCGTTGTAAAGTCTGTCGAGTGTCGGCTATTTCCTGGGCCGAGTTGTTCAAAGCCGGGTTAAGATTCAGGGCGTAAAAACGTAATGAGCATGCGTGAACTTTTTTGCCCAGATCCCCTGGCCGGGTTTGAAAAAATGGCGGGATTTCAAATATTTTTTTGCCTAAAAATAAAATGTTTCCACTCATAACCTGGAAAGAACAAGCAATTTGTCTTCAAACGTTGCAAGCTATGATTACTTAATTTTCTCGAAGAATACCTCATAGTAAAACGGACTTAAACGACATTAATTTCGTTGCGTTGTACTGGAAATGTGCATGCGGAGGTCCGATTTTTTTCAAGATGCATTCACAAAATGTGTTTATATAAGGAAGTTCCTGGATATATAAGGTCCGGAGCTCCACTGTGGACACAGAAACAACATATCTTTGTACAGTGATTTGCCCAAAAAAATTAACGCTTGCCCACAATGTGTTTGAAGTCACCTAACTTTGTCGCACTCGAGCTGATATTTAAAACCCACGCTCGATCGCACACTCGTAGCTTCGCAGATCACTAAAATATAAACAAAATCCTCAATATAGATTAGTTATTGCGTTGATATGTGGGCAGAAATAGGTCAATCTTTATCTAGTAAAATCTTCCCAAAAATCGGTTTCAAAGCAACTATAGTTTTTTAAACTTGATCGTTTCACGCAGATAAATTTTGCTTTGTCGTGTTGTCAAGTTGAACATGCATCACACCTGTCAAAAACCTAGCTACGCGTAGGTAAGATTTCTTTCAAACAAAGTTAAAGTTACATTGTTGCAAAAACTTTAAGATCGCAAAGACATGAGACAAGAAAAGAACAATTCCATCATGCACAAAATTCAGCTTAAGTGAACTTTAAAAAAGCTTCAATCGTGTTCAATAAGGTTGCAAAACAACAATTATCATTAAAAAAACAGAAGGCTAGAGGCTCTTGGCTGACAATGACAATGAAGAAATGAATTTTCTGTACGAAAACAACCTACCTAAAGATCTTAAAAGCAAAAGATCAATTTAAAAGCTTCCGGCCAAGCTATGATTCACCATTTAGCCATGTTTAATAACTTGTCCATGCGAGGGACTTCATTCAAGCAAATTAAACTCACTAAATCATTAGAAAGTACAGAAAACTGCACATAAGGGTTTGTTTTGCAAACTACTGTTTTGAAGTCATTGCAGGCAGTTGTCGTTCTCTACTTCACAGCGGGTGAAAAGGAAAATTTGCGTACAGAAAGAAAACAAAACTATTAAATAAAAAATGAAAAGAAAAAATTAAACCTCTGACTATTATTACTTGAACAACAGAAAAAGGATCGAATGAAGGTAAATTAAAAAATCTGGGCAAAAAAGTAACCGTAACTACTAATAAGAGAATACAAGCGGGTTTTAATTCAGCCCGGCGATAGAAGGCGAAGCACTGGACACAAAATCAACTCACAAATCGAATGCACAATTAACAGAAAAATACTCTCCTCTTTGAAAATGTTCAAAATGTTTATTCCACCTCAGACTGACGGAATGATCCGTTCTTTCTTTAACATTGGTTGTTCTGAATCCAAAGTAATTTTCAAGGACGAAAAACAACAACAACAACAACAACAACAAAAAAGAATAAAAACGCTTTACAGACCTCTACAAGGAGCAAACGTTCGCACCTCGTGCATTTGACAAACAAAGGACAGTCGACACGGCCAGTCAACACACAGAAAAGCCCGCCTTGAGCCTGCGATAAGGGATGAGCAGAATCTTGCGCAGAACGTTTTTCCTCCCTGAAGGGTTAAGATAAAACAGGGTTAGTGCGAGGTTTAAATTCAGATTTGAAAGCTTAAAAAGCATTTTAGCTTTAATTCTTTTTGTCTACAAGTTGATGATTGGAAGTTCTAAAAATAACAGAGAAAATTATCCGAGAAAATGCTTTTGAACATAAAAAAAGAAACCAGGTTAATTTAACTCCGGGTTTATCACTAATCGGCCTTTGAACAACTGGGCTGGATTACAATGTTAAGGTTTTAACTTTTAAATTCAAGAGTTTTAAATTTGTTGAAAAAGGGTTACCTATTTGTATAGTTCTATTTAAACAGGACTTTCATTTTGAAAGCTGTTTAATTTTAAAGTGTGACTTCACTCGAACTGCTGCTTTGTGTTAAGCCTGAGAGTTACCTGCTAGCAGAAAGGTCTCTCATCACGGCACGAGAAAATGACAGACAGAGAGAGATCTCTGCAGGCCCCCCAATGTGTTATCTATCACGCGTGTACATACATGTACTGGCGTTTCTTTAACAACCAGCAACATTTTAGTCACATGCGAGACAACTTACAGAACCGGCTTGCGCGATAACAACTGTGGGATCAGAAATTTTCAGGTTTAGTCTCAACAGGGCACCAGCAACTGTCTACCACAAATGTGGTCGGTGACTACATGAAAGAAACACGTCGAAAGCCGGCCGAGGTCTCTCACTTTCCTCTCCTTCTTCTCTGGCCGTGAGAGACCTCTGCTAGCGAGGAAGCCTGAGAGCAAGTTCTCTTTTGTTTTGGAGAGGGGAATGGGTCAGAAAATTTGCATACAATGCTGGCATTTAACCTGAGAAAAAAACATCCTATTTCTCCAAAGGAATTGAAAATGAAACTTAGAAGGCTTCGAGAAAAATTGCGGAGATTAAAAACTGAATACAAATATAGTGATGATGAGGAAGAAACGGAAAAATCAGAAATGGAGACACTAAAAGACCTGAAGAAAGCCACCGAGCAGGCGATCAGGGAACTTCAAGTGGAGGCCGCTAAAGCTGACAAAAGAAAAGGTTGGTTCATTTGAAAAAAAAAAAAAAAACAAAACAAAACGAAACAAAAAGACAAATGATTTGTTATCACGCGTTCTTAATGTTTTGATTTTTTAAAGACTTCATCTTTAGACTGAATTGGTGGCCGAAGTTTTAACTGGTTTTTAGACAAGGAGAGAACATTTGTGTGATAAGATAAACGATTTGCTTGATTTTTAGCTTGCTACTGTTTTATCATTACAATAGGGTTACATAATTGGTTTACATTGTATTCCTTTTTTTGTAAGTCGTGAGAAACTATCGGAGACTGCGCGATAAAATACCTTTCCTTAGTTATACGGTTAGAGATTATAATGCAGCATGCAGAAGCCACCAACAACAATAATGATAATGACAATAAAGATAATAATAATAATAAATAACCCAAATCTTTTATTGATAACAAAGCTAACTATAAAAAAAATCCTATTTACAATTAATTTCACTATTCCGTCAAAGCACTATTTACATTATTTCTTTCCTTAATAATAATAATAATAATAATAATAATAATAATAATAATAATAATAATAACAACAACAATAAAACTTCAAGTGTCATTATCACGAAGGAAAATCGTTTCCACTATTATTTATTGACACTACCTTATCACTCACAAAATAATATTGTCCAATTAATTAAAGAAGATAAAAAGAGATGGTACAAAGATAAACACTACCTAATTCTAATTTATTTTTAAAAGACCAATAAAATGTTAAAGTTTAAAATAAATTTTTATTTTATCCCTTTTAACGGCAGGTGTCAAGAAACTGATATTCATTCATAATGTTCCTGAATCAGGAAAGACAAGTGGGCTGGAGGACCTGGGTACGGACTTGCTGGCCCTTATTGAGTCAAACAAACCAACCTCCGGACCCGCCGCTAATGGCCCTACTCGTTCCAGGCCTCTTGCTCTTAAACCGGCTGCTCCAACAACTCAGAAAGCTCAAAAGAAGGAGCCCATTCAGGACGATACAAATTCACTCACAGAACTTGAAAAACAGGCTGAACAGGAAGTGAATTTTATGACAAACATTAAAGACAAAGGTATTGTGTAACACTCTAAGCTCCATGTGAAAGGTTTTAAGCTCATTTCACAAACTCTACTTCTTACAAGGGAGAGAATGCCATTTAAGTTCGAAAGGAAATATATTTTTTTAAAACATTCACTGAAGTTGAAAAGAGGTTAGTTTACTTCTTCCCCGCTTGTTATTTTTGCTCTCGCATGGTTACCTAATAGACCTTGTCACGGTTTTCGACGCCATCTTGACGAGTAGGCAAACGCGTGAGAAATTACTGACAGTATTTGTATGAGAATCTAATGTAGAATAATTTCCGTAGAACGGCTGTTCTGAAAAAAATATGAATTGTAAACTAAAGCTTAATTCCTAAGGATTCTACTGAAAAAACTGAGGGCGTTACATGCGCAGAACCACTTTTTAAAATTTTCTATACATTTATCTGTAAGAAAGTCCCGGGAAAAATTACAGACAAATATATGCAAAATCTAAAGCAAGCCTCTGAAGAAATTTAAGCACAGGTACGCCCCCAAAATTTTTAGCACAATCCTTTGTTTTGTAGCTTTAGTTTACAAGTCAAACTTTTTTTCAGAACAGCCATTTTACTGAAGTTATTCTACATTAGATTCTCACTGACAAACACTGTAATTTCTCACGCGTTTGCCTACTTAATTGTCAAGATGGCGTCGAAAACCATGACAAGGTCTATTAGGCCATGACCTCAACCAGTTCAGTTTCTCTTTCTCGTGAATTTTTTGTAGACGTTTAGAAACACAAGCGTCGATATGAGGGATAAAAAGTCTCTTCTGGTGTTCTGATCGGCTGGGTTTACCATATGCTCTATTTTACAGCTGTTTTTGTAATACTGATTATCATCTGTACTCTAATCATAGTCATAACCATACCTATCACGATGCTACTTGTTTCAGAGAATCACCGCTATACACAATTTTGAAGGGCATGTACATGTATGCCCGTACTAACACCTGATTTTTCCATTTCTATCGCCATTGCATTTTTCTCTACTAATGGCACTGCCGTAACCGAAACCATTATCATAATCACACCATGACAACTTAAGCCAATACCTTTCCCATGATATGCACATTGCCATTTCTTTGTATGTATTATCAGCGAACTGTTTCTATTGTGATTGCCATTATCTTTACAATCACCAGTGACACTAATTCAAACGTATTGGCGTTAGAATTAGCATTAGTTGGAATAATGCATATGCAATGCCAATACCATGGCTAATATACACTTAATGTCCGATCCCGAGGGAAACAGTTAGTTTTGTCTTCCCGAGAGTCCTGATGTTTCCCGAAACGAAGTCGAGGGAAACACCAGGACTCGAGGGAAAACAAAACTAACTGGTTTCCCAAGGGACCTGACATTAAGTGTTTTGTTATATTTCTAGACTTGACTTCAACAGCAACAAACGAATAACCGAAGCGAACCAAAACAGTCGACTCGGTGCTTATAACAACACAAATTTAATTCTTAAAACCACTGAATGAATCATTTACAAAGTACTTTCTTATATTATCTGTATCTTTTTCCTCCACTAGCTGCTGTTTCTCTTCTGGATGACTTTAAAAATTGTTGCTTTTTAGCTTGAGGCTTCGTGTTTGTGTTCAAGTTGTTGTGTTCATTCACGAAAAAGAAACCTGGCAATGTTTTTTCCCGCCTTCAGTCACACCACTTTCCACCATGCTTTGATCACGTGCTGTAATGTAGCCCGAGCGGGGTACATTATACACTAAATGTCAGATCCCTAGGGAAACAGTTAGTTTTCTTTTCCCAAAAGTCTGATGTTTCCCGAGACGAAGTCGAGGGAAACATCAGGACTCGAGGGAAAACAAAACTAACTGGTTTCCCGAGGGACCTGACATTAACTGTTTTGTTATATTTCTAGACTTTCACTTCAACGTACTTCAGCAGCAACAAAAGAATACGCTTAAGAGGAGCGAATCAAAACAGTACGACTCGGTACTTATAAGAACACAAATTTAATTCTCAAAACCACTGAATGAATGATTTAAAAAGTACTTTCCTTATATTATCTGCAGCTTTTTCCTCCACTAGCTGCTGCTTCTCTTCTCGGATAACTCTGAAAATCGTTGCTTTTAGCTTGAGGCTTCATGTTTGTGTTCGGTTGTGAATGTTGGTGTGTTCATTCACGAAAAAGAAAACTGGCAGTGTCTTTCCCGCCTTCTGTCACACCACTTTCCACCATGCTCTGATCACGGGCTATAATGTATCCCGAGCGGGGTACATTGCTTGATGTATCACGATCGGGATACATTTGATTTTAGTCAAGGCCACGTGACCAAGAATCAGCCAGTGGCTGTCCCTGTTTAGTTGAGTGAAAGTCTATGAATATAATAATCCTTAATGTCTCACGATCGGGATACATTTGATTTTAGTCAACGCCACTTGACCAAGGATCAAAATGATGGCAGTCCCTATTTAGTTGACTGAAAGTCTAGGAATATAACAATACCATTTACTTAGCATTCGCATTCCCATCGACATTACCGCTGGTATTATTATTGTCACCGTCAGTAACAGCAATTCATAAGCATTCTAACCACTAACATTGTGGTTCCCGTTACTCTCACCATTGCTATTAGCATCACTATTAATTTTAGCAGAAACATTACCAATACCATCCCCATTATCATCAACTTCGCTTTTTTTCTTGCTGGAAGCCTCACCAAATACACTGAAACCAGGATTAGATATAGAAATTCCAGGTAAATACATAAAGCCCTTGGTCATTATAATATTAGCTGTACAGACCTTAATACTATTGTTATGACCAAGGAGTCCGAAAAGGTGCGATTTTTTTAAATTTCACAGCTAAACAGAATAGGCTGAATCCAGGACTAAAAATTAAGATTCCAGGTAAGTAGTAGCATTAGGGTATCCTTGATCTTGCCTGTATCTTCTGTCGCGGAATCCTTATCAATTAATGAAGTTTGACGTTCCGCACGTGAGAAGGATTTGGAAAACACGTGAAAAAAATAAAGAAATAAATCCTCGGGACAGGGGAAATGAGCTCCCTGTAAGCTCCCGGGACGACGGCCTAATAATCACTAGATAAGGATCCCGCGAAGGAATCAAAAGCTTATGCTTCACGAGGAGGTGACCAGTTCTTGTTCAATGCAGTTTATAGGTTGTGTCACAGGGAGTGCGACAAACAAGAGAAAATAACCTTGTAGTGTATTCAGGTTTACAGACCTACTATGGGTCCCGATGTTCTGATTATCTCTAAATGCAACCTTTACAAAATTTCGTTCTTTCTCAATCAACTGTCACTTAATTTGCAGAACCGGCAGAAGTATCTCCAAATCAAAGTACAAGTAAGTAAAACGTTTTTAGACATAATGTTAAATCAGTTAAGCAACCTGGTATTAACTTATTTTCAAAGAAAGGTTAAAACTAAGAAAAAGCTACAGTTGTATAAAGGCAGGGTTCTCGCCACAAAACAAATCAAGTTAGTTTATCAACTTAACTGAATTTCAATAAATTTTTTAACAAAATAAAACATCATGAATCTTTTGATGCAAAAAATTACGCTGACAAAAATGCTTGCTGTTCCGAAAAAGTTTCCCCGCCGAAATTTTGCTAAATGAGCAACAAAACTGAAACGGAAAAGACTGTCACGGTTTATTCATTAAAAGAAATATTTCACAGCCCCCCTTTATTGACTCTACTTAGCCTTTTCTCTTCCCCTAATCGAACATATTCGCCGGAAGAAATACGTGGCCATGGTACATGTTGCGTTTTCTTTAGATTAAAAATAACAAGAATAGTTAGTTCAGGATCTTTGTAATAGTAAATCGTGTTGGCAGGGAGAAGGAAAAGTGTGCTATAGAGCAACATGATATATACTACTTTCCATACGGGTGGAAAAGAATTCATCAAGACTGACTGACTGCTAATCTTATTACTGAAGGTTCCAAAGCAGACATCCGCATGCATGTGTTTGGGGCACAAATTGCCCCACGAAGGAATGGATATCGCATGAGTCCAAGTAGGCATCAGAAAATTATCTAATCCAGAAAACCTAATGATAAAAAGGGATTTGAGAAAGCTTATAAGATCGACGCTCTTTTTTGCCGAATAGTTTTTTTTTTATATTTAAGCTGGACCAAGCAAGAGCTAATTAAAATAACGTGACATTTTCATATCTTTCGACTTAAACGTTCGTCGTGAGGAGAATTGACAACAAAAAGGAAAAGGAATAATATCCCATGAAAAAGTTATAATTGTTGTGTGCTCATTTTCTAAAAATGTAGCTGGAATTATTCCGTGCTGGAAAGAGACAACTTTCCCTTTTGTTAAGTATAACAGAGTCAGTAAGGACCAAAATTACAGCCACTTGCTGTTGCCGTCTGCCATCAGTCTGGATTTCTGTCATCGGAAAGTGCGAACACACTCACAAAACCATTTTATTATAACATTATATCGAAACACGCAATCCCTAACACGTGCAACAACGGTATATAAACAAACCAATTTTCACTGAAATACTTTTGAGAACGTGAAAACCAACTTCTTCACGTTCAGAAAACAGCAACGACAAACGGCAAAAGTGAAAAATGGCGGGAAAATATATCGCTTGGTTTTCTGTGCCTGTTGATCAGTTGTTAACGTAATTAGCTCAATCTAATCAGCCCGCGTCCACTACCTCTAAATCTCCACATGTTAAAGATGTGTTTTAATTTACTTGCAGCTCCACACTTGAGTGTACCTTTAAGACCAAAAGTAATAAAAACACCAGGAGGCCAGCGCCTACTTAATCCACTTCAGCTGAACAACTTGGCACAAATATTACCAGGTATACCTAACTTATATCGCGCGTTACAACAAAGGTAATTAGAGCACTTAAGTGTCTTAAGGTTTGCTTCCAACTTTATTTTTGTTACCTCAGTTGCTAAATCCTGGTTTGACAGCAAATTTCTTCAATTTGAAGTTGTCGTAGCAGACTTTTTTCGTTAACGAAAGTTTTGACCATCAAGAGCAAAATATTGTACTTCAAAACTTGCGGCATCGCCTTTTTACGCCAATTTCAAAGGCGCATGATTGATTAGTTAAAATTTATCAGATTTAACCAATTAGCAGTAGGGCTGATAATACATAATCGGGGCCCAAAAAGTGTTGAATTTAAGAGTGTTCTTCTCTTAATCGATGCAATGATGTAAAGGGAAACGGGAATTTCCCATTTCCGGTGCTCGTTCGCTGTTGCCGATTTCCCTTTCATAAACGGTCGTTGCCATTTTTAACGGTCGATGGAACAAAGCCTTTATAGGCATGAACTCATAATAGATGTAATATATCCCCTGGATTAATTAGCAATTAATGAATAAGGCTGAGTAGGATATGAAGAATTAAGCAGATCGAGGAGGGTGTTATCTACGGAGGCCGAAGGCCGTGGTGGATAACACCCTCCTCGATCTGCTTAATTCTTCATATCCTACGAAAGCCGAATTCATTAGTTGCTTTATTATTCATTCAAAATAATTCCTAGTTTAAAAACATAGCTGAAACATGCTTACCTGCATCGATGTTAAGTTCATCTTCGATACTGTACGTCTAGGTTTGTCCAGCTCCGTAAATATTTTCCAAATAGCAGATGTCGCCCTCCGAGTTGTCTTCTTGCTGTTTTTTCCATGTTTTTAGTTATTATTTCGCCTTGTTCCAACTGTAGTTCGTACTCTTGAAACTAGTGAAATGTCCGCCATTTTTTTTCACAACTAAAACAACTCAACCTCGTCCCCAGGTCTCCTCGGTTAACGGTGCCTTAACCTGTAGAGGGCTGCATTTTTGACGTCTTTTCCTTGTTAAACACAAAATTCTTCCAAATCTGGTCATCAGTAAATGGTTATGGTGAATTATGCGTGTGCTTTTAGCCAATCAAAATTGGGGAAATATTTTGAATGAATAATAACTTACAATAAGGCACTGGATAATACATTTTTGACTGGTACTAGTAAGAAAGAACGACGTTGAAGCCCAAGTTCAATTTACGTTAAAAGTTTTGGAAAGGGCTAGTAAGGTCGCCTGCTACTGATGTGTCAGTAAGAAAAAACGTTTGCTAGTTTATATTTACATTTTTCCCAAATTTAAGCGGCTCGGGAGGGAAGGGAGAGAAATTAGGATACGAAAGGTCCAGGTTCGATCATTGGTTGCGATCTGTTTGTTAAAAATGGCAGCGACCGTTTACGAAAGGGAAATTTGCTTCGCAGTTCTCCGTTTCCCTGTGAAAACGTTTTGATCAAAAGGTAAAATAAATAGAGAAGGAAATAAAAAACAAAGGCTAAAAAACCTAACTAAAGGTTGATCAAGAGCTTCGAAGTTTGTATTACTGAGAAATTACTGATATCACATTTATAAGCAAGTAATTTCAAACTGAGAAAATGCTTAAAAAAGTTCCATTAAAGAAGTTGACCAAAGATATCGCAGTGAGGTCCAATAAACCGATGCAAAAAGATGGCTAACCCGGCTAAAAAACTAAGGTCAACAAATTAAAATAAACAATAGTTTTAAGAATACTGTTTTTTTTTTTAGATAAATTCCATACCCAGGGTGATCTTCTTTTTGTCTTGGAATTGATATAGGAATTTTCTGTTATATTTCAGCGCCAGTGGATAATTCAAGAGATAGGAAATTTCATCCCTCTCGACCACTCAGTAAGAGAATACTTTCCCTTTATACCTATACTCGTTAAAACATTCTTGTGGCACTTTGTTTTTGGGGTTTGAAAAAGTACAAAGAAACCCGACTCCACCAGCTCTACCCCCCCTCCAAAAAAGTACGCTGTAATTATACAGTTTTCTGAAAGTAAGGTGTTGGTCATAATACAGAGAGCGAATCCGACCGCAAACTGCAGTAATTAGCTAGGACACAAGGACGGCATTTTATTTTCGGTTTTAACTCCTGCAAAAATTACATAATGCTAAAAAAAATATCTTTTATATCGAAGCACAAAGGAAGCTCCAACTTATAATGTTATTGGAGAAACTTTTAATCAAAAGCATGTTCTAGAACGAAGTAGATCTGGGACAGTTCAGATTAAAGCTATAGCCCTACATGGTGATTGTAGCTATGAAGGGACCTAGAATCGTAACAAAGGCTTCTTTATCTCTGACAGATGGATCAAGAAGAATTTTTCACCCTCCAGGTCAGTATTGAGCATAATTTTCAACACTTTTAACTTGCTACAAGATATAGTAGTATTTTGTGTTACAAATGTCCGTGAAACAATGGTATAATGGGCATCACCATGGTTGTATTTTTTATGAGCATGGAAACTGGGTTATAACACATTAAACGAAATCAGTTTAAGGGCTCTTTCTATTGGTAAACGTTAAGGCGCACATGGGCAGAAAGGTCCACTCCACGGAGCTGAACCCGAATTCTTTAAGATAAAACACCCAAGAATATTACCACACTCTCTTGATTGGATGCGATGACATGGCAGGGTAACCCTCAGCGGTGTCCGCTGTACTGCAGGTGAAGGGTCAATATGTCAAGCAAAGTTTCAAATGTGGGGAAATAACACAACGTTAGCACTTGAGTTCTGGGTGTGAACTGCTCGACCACCTTTAATTTCTGTTAGTTTAGGGTCAAATTTGACGAGCTACGTGAAACGTTAAATTTATCATCAAACTAACATCTTTTCTAAATATCAAAAGTATATATGCTTTAAGTGTGGTCGTTGAGTTAAGTGTATCGTTATCTGAAAGCAGGAGGGAAAAGTGTGTCCGCCATATATATTTCTTTAAAGTGCAATTTACTCGTAAGCTAATCCAGAAAGAAGCTTCAACTGTAATAATCCCAAAATGGGTGAACTTTGCAAAAATTTTCAGATATACTCAGTATTTTGTCGTAAAACAGTCGAACAGCCGAGTACTTAAAGCTTTTAGTCAAAATAAAGCTGAGCATCTTTTTTTCTTGCCAGGTTATTTTAGTATCGGTTGCTGGAGAGACCAGCCTGAGAGGGCTTTACCAAGCCTGGAGGGAATATTTCCAATGTTGGATGGAAACGATTACAAAGCCCGAAAATTTCCCATAAAGAAATGCGCCACAATAGCCAGAGTTCAAGGATTTCCAGCCTTCGCCTTAGAAAATGGTGGCCAATGTTTAGGTGGGAAGGATATTCTACAGACATACAACATGTATGGGGCCTCTAGCGCGTGTGAGGCGGATGGACGAGGAGGTCCCTGGAGTATGGAGGTGTATAAGTTCACAAGTAAGTTGTTTATTATGTGTGGACAAAATAGCGCGAATCCTGTGTTCTGATTGGCCACCCGAGCGGACAGGATGGCTGCACCTTTCCCGCTAGGAATTTCCGGCAACCCCTTAAAGAAAAAGAAGGCTTTTTGGTTATATAATAATCTTTTATTGGCCAAGCTTGTTCGGTCAAGATGACTGGATATTCAGGCTCGTTTTTTTAGCATTGTTATGAACGGACGGAGACGGTCAACATCTAGCAATCTTGATTGAACAAGCTTGGTCAATAACTCATATTATGGGTATTGTGTTTGACGTGGCTCTAAAATGCACTTTATTTGAGTGTCAATGTATTTAGCACGAAAGTACTAATTCGGGACACTCTTTTTACCTCTCCTACTGGAGACGGAACCGCCATTTTTCGTGGTCATCCGAGCCACGGAAGGACTAGCCGCTTGCAGTGCAAAGGGAGTACCTTCATTTCTCAGTTATTTTAAGACCCTGAGTATGGGTCCGGCCCTGGGAATCGAACCTCCTGAGGGATTGACCTAATTTCGAACCCGCGGTAGAATCACAAAGAAACGAGTGATAAGTTAACAACCGACCGGGGGTTACATTGTGGTCTGGAGAATCGTGCTCTTTTTATCTTTAAATTGGGAAGAGGGGCAATCCCGACGAGTTACGTTTGAAACTATTGCCTCTTTAATTACTGCTTATAGTCAAATTTATGGCATAAAGGTTCATTTTCATTTTGGCATCAACTCAGTGAAAATAACTTTGTTTTTCATATTTGTTTCCAGAACATACACCATCCCGTCGAGGTGGAATTCCTCGCTTGAAAAGCGTAAACTCTCCACTGGGTAAAAAAAAAAAAAACAGCTATAGTCAGTAAAGAGAAAGAGTGAAGGCTTACAGAGTCGGTTCATGGTATGCTATACGCAGATGCAGACTGTACTGTCATAACTCATGAGAACGAAACACAACTCTATCACTCGTTCCAGCTTCTTTGTTTTGTTCGTTAATGTGGTTCATCTGAGAAACAAGTTAAATATACTGAACAAGCTATCCACCGGCATTGGGGATATTGATGAATCTACTTAAATTTAGATGTAGTTGCAGTTTTTGCACTGAAAAATAGTCGAAAAGTGTCATTCAACGATGGCAATGAATAGAACACTGTCATAAGATTTGCGGAATGGAAATTCACGGGTGTATCGTTCACCCAGGTATATTTACCATAGGCTCCCAAGACGTCGCCAAGAGCACATAGTAAGCTACAGGAAGGCAAGTTAGATACATAATGAGAATATTGCATTTTGCTCTTCCGTTCGTGTAGTATTGGGGAGCCAATATGTGGTGCCAATGTTATTTACCGGTATGTGCAATTCGCTTATACGAAAACAGTGCATAACCAACATAAAATCTTTGATTAGGATGACATAGAAGCTTTGATCCTGGGAAAACAACGATCACAACAACAACAACAACAACAAAAGCAATCTAGCAGTTTCAAAGTTTTTTCAAGGTATGGGCTTGACCTTGTGTACCATACAACAAATTCCCCATGCAAGGAACTCGATAAATCGAGACCGCAAGTATGCACGTACGTACAACGGGACAGTTGGTCCTTTGTAATGCTTGCATCATGCCTCAGTAATGGTGTATCTATTCTGCGTGTACCTTATTCTCACTTTGTAAGCTCATGCCATCTCTTACACATTTATAAATCTATTTTAGTGAATAAAAAAATAATTAAAAAAAGTATATCAGACAACCTTGTAAGTCCGTGTCACTTTATGATGTCATTTGATGAAATGTGCTTTTCCATTTATCAGTAACTGACCCAAAGTGGAGGGGTTAGAGAAATAATGATCTCCAAAAGAGAATGGGGACAAACGTTAAAATCGCAATGATCCCTGGGGTCATGAGAAGCCAGACTTTAGTGGTCCTCTAGTTAACCATTGGTTTATGCCTAGGGTATGTATAGTGAAGGAAAGGAGGTACCCCTAGCCTTTTGAGTGATTTCCAAGCTTCCCAAGTGCGTCACATGTCCATATGCTAAGCACAGCTGAAGCATGAGCCAATATTTATTTTAACATTTTCAACGTGTTAGTCAATTCTAGTGTGGTTAGTATAGGGGGCGCTCAAAGCAGATCGCCGGCGTCGCTAATTTCTACTGGAATAGCTGATAAGGTGATACTTGGTAAAGAAATATCAAAAAGTGTGAGATGTTTTCAAAAAACAAACGCTTCGGGTTTATGACCTTTCTTCAGTGTGAGAAAAAACTGTTGTTTTTAATTCATTTCGAAGTCGTTTTAACTCTCAGTACTGAGAGAAAGTATGTTTAGAAGGAAAGCTGGTGTACTTATTCCGAGAAGATATTTTTTTGTAAAGAATAATTGAACGCGCAAATCAGTACGCACAAGTAAGAACACTCGAGCCGTCCCTCTACTGTTCGCAGACCAAAAACTTAATTTTCTCTTTTAATAAGTTTAAATAACAGATGATTTTCTGAAGTTTGAAGTGAATTAAAATGAAAATGAGAAAGACGGTGACCAGCAGATTAGAGATAACACAGCAAAGAATCTCAAACTATAGAGAATTGCTATCACAAATTTGCTCTTACATAGCAATGTGGATTGCTGGTTGACCAAAATTATGGGTTGGTTGGCGTAAATTTGTTTTTGGTGGGAACGGAATATTTATGATGAAGTTATTAATATATGAAAATCATATATGTGAAGGGCGGAGTGAATAATTTAATGAAGAATGATCATCGCAGTTATATACGCAACCTTTTGCAGTTGCGAAAAGAAGGCCTGAAAAAAAAAAAAATATATATTAATAAATTATTATTAATAAATTCAGGCTTGTACGGGATTCGAACCCTTGACCTCTGCGATGCCGGTGCAGCGCTCTACCAATTAAGCTAACAAGCCAACAAGGACTAGAAATGGCAGTACTATGACCCCAGTGAGAAGGTCAGTGATCGCCAATCCACCAAGAAGAATGTAAGAAGTAGTTCGGAGTAACTGGTTCTTCCAAATTGCCATTAAAATCAGAGCATTTCCAACCACTGCTGGCGACATAATAGCGTTGACAGTGCATGTTACTATAGCTACAACATACGAGGCAGAGGCGATCATTTTCTCGACTTGAAGTATTGTGCGTTTACTCGTACCAGGATCTGTTTGCAGTACTTTCACTACAATCGGATTGGAATTTATCGCAAAACAATTTTTGCAGCAGCTGTATATCCCTGTCAGCTTTTGTAAAAATAGAAGGCGGAGCGACGTTGGGTTGGGCTTCGTGAGTAGAACTGACAAGAAAGGCCTGACAAAAATGTGTAGTCGTTGCTAAGTTCTTATGTAAAGCGAGTATTAGAGATTATAATAATCCGCTGCGTTTGGCCGCTTAAGATCTGATGTCAGTTCACCGACAAATGCAGAATATTCCCTGCAAGCATTGAATTAAAAACTTTTACAGATCTCTAATTTGAAAGTGTGACAAAGGCGTATTCATCTGTTATCTTTGCAACATTTGACATAAGATATGATTGGATTCTATTTTTTCTTTGTACTATAACCAAATAGAATGACAGAACCATACTGACAGTATCAATGAATATTACATTATTTTAAGAGTCGTGGTGCCTTGGTGATCAGTTGTGGGATAAAAGTGAATTTCTTTTTAAAGCCTTAAGGTTGCATGGCGGCTGAGATGCCATCTCGTGCCTCCTAAATTGTGTATTCTATTGTATAGAGGGTGAATTGGTGCAAATTATCACGAAAAATTCGTTTGAGCATTAAGGACAACAACAACTAACTGCAGCGTAAAGTTCATTCACCTTTATTTAGTATTTCCTACAAATTTTAGGATTGTATTTTTACCCCATACAAACACTCTAATTTTACTGGAACCGTACTGTGGTACTATCACGGAGCCTGGGTTACCTGTGCTTGTACTTTTTAGTTTATTTAAACTTTTTAGAGTTGTCATCAAATTCGCATGGGCAGTTTGCTGTTTGGGATGATGGGAAGAATAAGACGATCGTCAAATTTTAATTCATCTTTACCCCCAAGTGGCAAACTTCCCGTCTAAATTGAATAGATTAACAAATACAAGGGTTTTTATTGCAGCTGAAAAATGAATGGTTCGAAGTACTAGAGTTGGTGGCTTTCGGTGCTAAAAACTGGAAGGAGATCTCCGTAGATGCTATATTTTGGTTTTTTTTTTTTTAGATCTTTTTCGAAAAGAAGAGGGCAAATACACAGTAACTTTGATAAATGGAAGTTCTTTAATCTCACAGCGCATTCAGCATAAAGTTGTTCTTCTTGTAGTGCTAACTATATTCGCCGGAGGTTTCTGATGGGGCAGATAAAATGCAGACTGCGGACTGACTGTGAACTATTGTTTTCAGGGTTAGAAAACAAAGGGACTATAGTTGTCACGTTCTTATTTGCATCAGTGAAAACAATACTCCGCAGTCTGCGTTTCTGATTACTCAGTTTCTTGCAATAATTAAGAAATGGTTAACTTGCAACGTGCGATTATCGAGTTATGAATGCACGCAGGAGGTTGCTAAGCACAATGCGATGAAAGCTACACAATCTGAGCGCGTTTCCTAAAAAATTTGCTTGAATTTAATACAACCTTGATTTACATTGTAAACAACAATAACCCCATGCTAACTGATAAACTTTCATTTCCATACAGACTTTCTCTTCTATTAAAACACATAAAATGTACCTTAAATCTCGGGCTTGAAACTTTGCTCAATCGGTTGTTTCTTCTGAGCTCCTAGCCGCCAAGAAGACAGTGATAAATATCTCCAGGACAAATTTGTCGCTTGATCTTTTGACTTTTATTTTCTTCAAATTGACAACTAAGTATTTTCTTCAACTTTGACCGTTTCATTCGTACATTTCATCGATGCATTTTAAACTGACAGGAGAGGAGATTTACTGAATTTGCCTCGATTTTATCGCGCTAGCTCAGTTTCTTGGCGTGCACCAACTGGCAAATGGTCGATGGCTAACTGACCAATCAGGGCGCGCGCTTTACTTTTGTTATGTTATAAAAAGCTTTGGGTAAGAATATCATTTCAGGTAGGAGATAGTCCTTCGGCACTCTTGCTCTATTTGTGCGTCAACTTTCGTAAAAAAAATGTTAGCGTAGCATTTTAAGGTTCAATTTGACCAGCATTTTGTGCAGCGAAGTGTATGGTCACGATCGGTCATGACTTCAAACTTGCAGGTATAAAACTAGAAGCTCTGAGGCTTATTTGCTGAAGTTAGGGGAAAATCTGTCGTAGGAGTTATCATTTGCATGTTTGGTAAAAAAGCAGATTTAAATATATGCTGATATCTCAAAGGTTTTCATACTTACAAGAAAACAAATAACATTTTCTTCAAATTCCACTATTCTTTATTAAGGATGCAAAAAATCATAGAAATTGGTCAAATTGTTCCTGCTGAAAAACGCGATTCAAAAACGTAGCCAACACCCATATAAATAAGTTCGGGCCTAAACTATTCTTGACTGTTAATTGTAACGTTTTCCTCTGTCGCAGTGATCATAAGTGAAGGCAATTAAGCTAGTGATGGTTACTTCCACTTCCAGACTCGTCACCTTGTTGCGTTGCATCAGTCCTATATAAATACGAAAAACGATGGAATGAATGTCTTTGCTACCTTGGGTACGAGAGGATTTGCTCGCGTGCGGCACCCAGGGTATGTCTTTGCGCAGTTGATAATATTTAGGTTATCAAAGTGTCAAACAAAACGCATTTAACTCAAAATAAAGGTGGTGTCATTTTGCTATCATTAAATGATAGCAAAAAAACGGAGGTATTTTATTGTAGGTACGATAAGAGTCCGCGCCCTTGTAAGTTTGATATAATTTAATGAATGAGAAGAAGTCACAAAGGAAATTTATTCCAGAAGAGAATAAATGATTTTATGCAGCTACATGTAGTTAAGGGAGTTAATATGTTACTTAATGACGGGTCAGATTACATACGGGACCTTGATTAGTGGATATTTAACTCAGTGCAGGCCTGGTTGCAGGCCTCTTTTTCTTCAGCTTCAACAGGAAAACGTTTTCCCCAACCTCCCCTCCCTAAGGGGTGGCTATGAGACATATAACAAGGGGGTTCACTTGGGTCGGGTGGCCGGTTTGCCCTCACCTTTGCTGATTATAAATCAGTATCTCTAGATTTCATGAAATTTGAAGTAATTATTATCAAATAAACGGCCACAATTGTGGCTAAAACATGGCAAAAATATTGTTACACCTTTTATGCCGCTTCCAGCAAACAGAGCTCAGTCCTGGCAATGAGCTTCGTAGTTAGGGTTAAGTAGACAAGAGGCATAAATACTGATTTAAGTATATATGATTGTTATGCCGTCAGCCATTTTCGTAAACCTCCACGACTCATGCTAATGTTGACTCATGCTGAATTCCTTTTAAAACTATATGAACACTATAAAATTCGAATTTTACCAGGTATATTCAATTCGTGAGGTGCGATGCATGTATACCCATTCATATTTAGGTAGATAGCTTTCGTAATAGAATTTTTTTTCTTGCTCAACTGTGCCGTCTGCATTCATCTTCTTCACATCAACCTGGAATGAAATAATAATAAAAGATGTCGAGTAATGTAACTAGTATTAACGAGTTTCAATTCAATAAAATATCGT